AGTGTCCCGTGTTTGAGTCTCTGGTTTCTTTCTCCACATTCTCCTTTGATCTCATTACTCTCTCAACACTATATACATCAGTATAGATGTAATGTACATTGCACATTATTACATAATTTCTATGTGCTGTATATATATGGGCCCCAGAGAATGGAAATTTTGAATTTAAGGATAAAAATAAATATAAACTTTATTTTTTAGCATAAACCCCATTAAGTTCAAGAGACTTTTGTAAGAGACAACAGTCATTTAGTCCATTCCTAAGAACCTGGAAGTCCTGGGGTATTTATACTAATAACTGAAGAAAAAGGGTGCCCTTTAAACTTTTTTTTTTTTTAAGATTAGGAAAGAAACGGTACAGGTGCCAAATCAGAACTATAAGGTGGATACCTAATGGTTCCCCATGGAAACTTCCACAGACTTGCTCTTTTGAATGAGAGGAATGAACTAGAACATTGTCTTGCTGGTGGACGACTCTGGTGACCCTTTACTGGGAATTTTCCTGCTAATTGTTTGCTTACCATTTTCAAAATGCTAGCAAACATTACTGTTTGTTGGCTCTCCAGGAAGCCAACAAGCAAAATACCCAAGCACCCTAAAAACAATTGCCATTACCTTTGCTTTTGACTGACCGGTCTACTCTGACTGGATCACTTCCACCTCTTGTTAGCCATTGCCTTGATTATGCTCTGTCTTTGGCATCATGCTGATAAAGTCATGCTTCATCTCCTGCTACAAACATTGGTGGAAATGCTTCAAGATTTTGTTCCTTCTTGTTTAAAATTTCCACTGACAGCTTTGTTCTTGCCTGCAGCTGAACTGGTTGTATAGTTTTGGCACACTCTAACTGGGCTTTAACTCAACTTTTTTCACCTGCATTTTGTACATTCAACCAGTTGAGATGTCTGTGGTTTTGTATATTGTTCTTCTTGCTAGTAATTGTTGGTATTCTTCAATTTGGACACAAACAAGATTGTTTCCTCCCAAGTTTGTGCGGATGGTCTGCTGCTGCAGCCTTCCATCTGCAACTAAAGTCTCATCTTTAAAAAAACTTTCATTTGTGAACTGCTGGGTTTTATGGGGGCATTTTTCCAATAAAATTTTCACAAAGTATCAATGATTTCACCATTCTTCTACCCAAACTTCACCATAAATGTTATTTGTGTTATTGCTTCAATTTTAGTAGAATTCATATTATTCTGATAGGGGTTCTTATCAAACTAATGTCTTACTTTTCTTAATGCCTCAAACTAGATACTGTTCAGACCTGTTGTAACAAGTTAGTGCAATATCTATCTATCTATCTATCTATCTATCTATCTATCTATCTATCTATCTATCTATACACAAATTAGTAAAAATGTTAATGCATGCATAATATTCATTTTCCACGAACTTTTTGAAGAGCTTCTCAGACAGACAGACAGACACACACACACACACACACACACACTTACACACGTCTGTCTAACCCCAATATCTTCCTTGAGCTTTGGTCTTGACTCTTTAGCTTCTAGCTTTACCCTGCCAATTGACTGTTTAGTACACATCTCCATCGTAGCTTATTCTAAAACCAGACTCTTTGTATCCATACTTTCTAAATTTCCTCCTACTGATTCCTCATTTGTTTAGACTACAAGCTAAGTCATCTTTTATTTCCTATTGTATTCCACCAAATCTTGTTTTCTAACCACAATATCAAAAGTATAAGATGTCCTGTAAACTAATCAGGCTCCACTACCTCCATTTCTGCTTCCCTACTTTAAACCATGATCTCACTCTACAGTTGTTACAATTAACTTCTAAACTTGATCTCCTTTCTTACATTCCTGCTCCCTGTAGCTCATTATGTCCATCCCAGCTAACAATGAAATTAAGAAGAAACATTTAAGTTAGAATATGTTAATGTACTCCCCTGGTCTAAGCCTGTCATAATGCTCCTCACACTAGATTAAAACCCAAAGTTCTTCTCAGGACCTATAGGACTTTACATGATCTATTTCTTGGCTTCCTCTCTGATCTCATCTTCTGTTAGCACTTTGTTCTCTGTTCGTGCCAACCACACTCACCACCTTACTGAGTAGTTCCTTAAACATGCTAAGTCCCACCTCTTCAGGAACACTTCCACCAGAATGTTCTATATTAAATAATGTCAGTGTAGCCTTCCGTGACCACAGTATCACAATTAGTGGTTTCCTGCCTCTCCCCCACTTACTGTCTCCTTATGTTCTCAGAGCCTTTACCTCTCATTATATTGTTTGCATAATTTTTATAGTCTTGCTTCTCTCATTATATAGGTTCCATGACATGCTCCATAGACTATGCAAGCTAGTTATAAATATTTTCTGAAGAGGATTTTGATTTCAGTTTGTTTGTTTATTTGTTTACATTGCTGAGTTGGTGATCTATTGAGAAGAACATATTCAGCAGATATTTGACTATATAGGTCTGAAACTTTGGAAACAGGTTTGACCTTTCAATAAATCCAAAGTTTCTAGGATAGATGATTCTAGAGGCAGATGAGATGAGGACAATGTGACAGAACTCTGGGGACACAGAGGTTTTGGTTGCCAGAGGAACAACTTAGGACCTTTTACTTTCCATGGGGTTTTATAAGTGTTGCATTCAGAAATGAATACATTTTTATTAGTGATTTGGATAAAGGTAGAAGGGATGCATATTAGCATATTTTCATATGAACTAAAAGTAGGAGGTTGATTTAACCAAATCAGTATGCAAAATGATGCTGATAAGTTGGTATGCTGGGCTTAAATCACCAGGATGAAATTTAACAAGGGTAGCAGATTGTTAACAAATTTAACAAATTTTGCAATGAGATTATGACAGTCAGTTGGACATATACACAAGGGCAGAGTTGTACCAGCTTTAAAAACAAATACAAACGCCTTAGGAGTTTTCGTTTGTTTACCTTTGCTTTTTAAGCATTAACAAAAAGTATGACTAGACTTCTCAAAATAGCAAAAGACATTTTGGGCTAATAGACATGTGGTATGCTAGTTTTGGGCAGTACATGTTCTTTGGTGTCTGAAGTAGTAAAATCACAGCTGAGTACCATATTTTTAAAAGGATTTAGTGTAGAATCCAGATTCTATATTAATCCAAGACCTTAAAGGATGTGGAAACCATAATATATGGATAATCTTTCAAGAAACTTGTTGAGATTTTCCAGGCTCAAATATGAAGAGATAAATTAGTTGTTTTTTATTGTTGTTGTTTGAGCTAGGATTAAAGGATGGCCATCTCAGAGCAACAAACCTAGATGAATTGACAGTAGGAAAGGATGTGAGCTGGAGACTAGTTGGTGAGGAGGGTAGGAAAGCTGGTATAGAAAGTCCTAGACAGTTCCAGGGGGACATGGGAGAGGGGAGCGGTGGGGGAAAGGTAGTGGTGTTAACAAA